TTTTCCTTATATTTAATGCTCGTAAAGTAAGTGATGCTACAGTCCTCAGTACATTCAACAACCAGTTTTGTTGTGATACAGCAAGTAGTAAATGTGCAACTGCTTTATTTGGCTTTTGTGTTTGGAAAGGTTTTAGGTGATCTGTAGCTTCAGTCTAAGCCATCAGTTAAAAATATAATACAGAAGAATAATTGAGTCTTTGTATCTAATTCTGTTGCAGGATGTAGCAGGTGCGCTTTCAGTGGAAGAAATCACAGAACTGCTCGGTCTCCACAAACTCTGCTGTGGCCGTAGCTGGTATATTCAGGGTTGTGATGCCCGAAGTGGTACAGGACTCTTTGAAGGACTGGACTGGCTGTCAAGGCAGTTAGTAGCTGCTGGTGTCTTGGATGTGGCTTAATTTTATAGCAGCTGCAGTTTAACGTTGTAGTTCATGGTTTTGTTTTGTTTGCACAATTTAAGATGCTGTAGCCAGGTCTGCTGTCTGAAGAGGGGACTTTATTTAACTTGGTGGTTACAGAAAAATATAAGCCTTTATCCTAGATTGGATAATTGGTTCATTAAACTTGTGCTGTTATAGTGTTTTTGTAACTTGATACATTTAAAAGTAATGGAATGGGCTCATTACAAGGGTGCCTTGAAATTCGTTTTGGTGAAATTACGTTGTTACAACTTAAAATTTTTCCCTGACAGAATATGCATTGGAGTTCATCTAATAATGATAACAAAGGTACTATAGTTAATTGGTGTCAGAAAAAATTAGAGTGGTTTAGAAATGCTTTCCCAGGAAACTATTCCAAAATCCATCTCTATTAGAACAGCCAGCTCTGTTAGTCAGAAAGAAATGGAGCTACTCTTTAATATCTAAAGAATGCATTCATCTAAAGGTGGCACTGAAAATTACATGCAAATACACCACAGAAAGAATAAGTTTCCCCCATTATTTATTAGACTAGCTGTTTGTTACTGGAAGGCAGCATAACTGGGCAAAGAAAACTGAGAATGGGCAACCATACTGCAGGGCTAGGGGCCTTTGGCATTGTTTAGCTAGTCATTTTCTGGTTGGGAGAGGAGGGGTTAGTTGTTTTTTTGTTAATCTTACATGTGCTAGCTTATTTATGGACAGCCTGTAGTGATAATGAGGTGAAGGTTTTTGTGCACAGTTGAGGATATAATCTGCCTTTAGAGATAAAGTTTACTCCTCAAGAAGTGAAATGAAGTTTAAAAAAAACCCAAACAAACCCACTTCTTAAAGAAGTAGTGTGGTGTAATGTCAATCCAGCTATGTATTCTTTTATAGAAGTCATACTTCCAGATTAAGGTAGTGGCCTTAAAATATTAAGTAACACAATGTAAAAGCAGTGTACACTAATTGTAACTCTTACTTAGAAGAACAGATGGTAAAATGTGATATAAACCTTCCATAATTAGATTTTTTTTGTATTTTCTACATGAAACTGTCACCAGTGCCTCTATTTTCGAAGATTATTAATTCACAAATGCATGAAATATGGGTGCAGCAGTGTTTAAATTTAGAGAAGGTTGCAAACCCCTAGTGATGTCTTTTTCTGCTGCACATGCAACTCTGGTAACAATTCTGTCTGGTATGCGCATCAAAATCCTCTGGCCTCCTCTTCAAGAACACAGCCATGCCAGTTGAAGAAGCCATGCTATGGACCTCTCTGTATTGTCAGAGGAGCTACCAAGAGCATGGCCAATAAATCAAAACCGCATATCATCACTTCTTACTGGAGCAGAGGTGAATCAGGAGAAACACACACTGGAAGTGAGCAGTGTTGTTTCACAAATGGGTAGATACTTTTGCCACACTGAAAAGCATTGTTTACTTGTAAGAGCTCTGAATGTCACCTGGCAAAGAAAATGTATCCCATTACCTGTGGCTATGGGTTTTATTGCGACGTTATCAAGTTTATGATGTTTTCCCACTACATACCTTAGATAAAGCCAAGCATGTACAAACAATTGAGTACATTTGCACTTTCCTCCAAGAGGAAGCAGTTAGGGTAACCGCTTCCTCATAATGACGCTTATTTGTAGTTTCCTCCTATTACTTAAATTTCATGTAAATGGTGTTAAATGCATCTTCAGTTTCAGCACTTCTAATGACTTGAATAGTAGCTGAAAGAACACTAAACTTTATAGTAGTTAAATGTTTTTGAAATGGGCTTCTGTGCCTACATATGTACATAGGTACTGAGAAGGCATATTTACTTTCTTCATACAACCGGATACATTTGGAAACAGTTTACAATGGAGTGAAAGGTATTTGGCTGCTTTGACTTGAGCATCTGCTTAGCCTGTACTGCAGAGCAGTCCCAAACCTAGTTAGGGCTGGCTGTCCCTTCATAGCTCTTTTTAAACCATGAACAAGTTCTGCTAAGCATGGCGGATACCTTTTCCAGGAATATTTTTAACAGAGAAGACAGGCATTCGTTAGAAAAATCCTGATTCTGTAATTTTATTTTAGCTGACTCATGCTTCAGTTACATATGTCTCTCGGTATAGTTCTACTTGAAAATGTTCAAGGTGACCAGTTTGGATTTTTGGTAATGTTACATTTGAAGGCAGAGGAAAAATAACTCCCTCATGCATATTTTTGAGTACAAAGGATTGATTGCTTGTGACACATGGAATACTACCATAAAAGTGTTTTAAAATTGAATTTATTTAAGGTGACTTGAAGTAACTGTGAAAGTAAGTTTTGCATGTCTGTGAACTTTTCAGTGTAAACAGGTACACCAAGAGGTCTGTTTGTATTATAAATTAATACTACATATAAAGTGCTTCAGTTATAAATTTAAGCTTGTTCCACTAGTCTTACTGAACTTTAGTTTTTCATGTACTGATGTATGCAGTGTGTAATTGGAATATTTCCTCAACTAGAACTCACTTGAGCATTACTAACTATGGGGATTATTTGAAAAGACTAAGTTTTCATAGGATTTTGACTTAATTGTGAAAGTGAGTAAATAAAACATCCAGTGACTGTGTTGTGGCTTTCTTTAAAGATTGTCAGCTAAAAATGGTGTCTAGGTTAATTGAAAAATGATGTTTTATCACTTGATGTGGCCTTTATGCTACCTTCGGATTTATTGTGGACTATGTAAGTACATCAGGGTTTTATTCTGAGGTAGTTCTTATTCTGAAGTATTGGAGTAGGTGTGGATATTATATAAAGATTTCTTGAAAGAAAGGGGTCTTTTAGTGGAAACAATTCAAGAGCTGCTGCAACTTGAGTGCCCAGAAAATGAATTCTTTTCAATAAATGTAGTTAGAACTTTAGAGAATGGATTTTAATAAACTTGCCTCTTCTTTTTGTGCTGTGCCACATTTTACTTACCATAGAATTTTGCATATGAAGATAACCCTTTATCTTGCTCAAGATAAGCTTCGGTCTGGACAGGCTCAACCGATGGGCTGAGGCCAATTGTATGAGGTTCAATAAAGCCAAGGGCCGGGTCCTGCACTTTGGTCACAACAACCCCCTGCAACGCTACAGGCTCTTGGCGCAGAGTGTCTGGAAAGCTGCCCAGCAGAGAGGGACCTGGGGGTGCTGGTTGACAACGGGCTGAACATGAGTCAGCAGTGTGCCCAGGTGGCCAAGAAGGCCAACAGCATCCTGGCCTACATCAGAAATAGTGTGGCCAGCAGGACTAGGGAAGTGATTGTGCCCCTGTACCCGGCACTGGTGAGGCTACACCTTGAATCCTGTGTTCAGTTTTGGGCCCCTCACCACAAGAAGGACATTGAGGTGCTGGAGCAAGTCCAGAGAAGGGCAACGAAGCTGGAGAAGGGTCTGGAGCACAGGTCTTATGAGGAGCGGCTGAGGGAGCTGGGGTTGTTCAGTCTAGAGAAGAGGAGGCTGAGAGGAGACCTTATCACTCTCTACAACTACCTGAAAGGAGGTTGTTGTGAGGTGGGTGCTGGCCTCTTCTCTAAAGTAACAAGTGATAGGACATGAGGCAATGGACTCAAGTTATGCCAGGGGAAGTTTAGGCTGGATATTAGAAAAAATTTCTTCACTGAAAGAGTGATCAGGCATTGGAGGAGGCTGCCCAGGGAAGTGGTGGAGTCACCATCCCTAGAGGAGTTCAAGAAACATGTAGATGTGGTGCTTAGGGACATGGTTTAATGAGTTGGGTGGTGGTGGGTTGGACTTGATGATCCTTGAAGTCTTTTCCAACCTTAATGATTCTATGATTCCTAATGGTAACAGCTTCCGAGGGGCTGAATTTGATTAGCATGCATCACATCTCATTGCATGAAGTTACCAAACTCCATACTCCTGCGTCCTGGGTGCGTGCAGTGGTGTTACGTGAATATAAACAGTCAAAGGTAATGTTACTGTATTTAGAGTAGACTTAACTATCCAACATAGTAACAACCCTATCTAGCCACAGCTTCACACCAACTTGACAAGTTGCCTGAACTTTAATTGAGGACTGCATCAGAAACCCCTGATGGAAGCTTAGTTGAGATGGTCGCCATCACTGATTTTAAACTAAGTACTTCAAGACTTTGGGTAAAAATGAAGCCAGAAACAGACTCCCTAGGCTAAAATAATAAGAAAGCAAACACTGAAAGAAAAAAGCATTATTGGTAGTGCCAAACAAGCTGCACAGAACTTTATATACTGGCATTCCAAGAGCTGATCGTGGCTCTTGGACACAGACAACAACACCTACACAACCCTTCTTAGAGGACAGAGATTGATTAAATACCTTGTCATAGCAAACAGTCTGTTTTTTGTACCTAATTTTTGATGCATGTACATATTATTTAGAGTTTACTAATAACTTAAGATTTCTGATCTCTTCCTTTGTCAAATATTTCAATACTGTGGAAAGGATTAATTATATATGAAAGATGCAAATAAAAAGTTAGAGACTGTACCCTGAGTCTTAAACACTATAATGAGACATGGTGTGGATTTTTCTCTTCAGTTTTGCATAGAAGAGATGCAGGAAAAAAGAGAAGACTTTGTAAGAAACATGCAGGTTTTTTTACTTTAAAATACAAAGTTACCAGAAGTACAAACATAGGGCACTTTAGGTACATTTTAGAATAGAAGAACTGGTGATTGCTCTGTCCTGGCACTTCTTGTATCTCATTATCAAAAAACATTTCTGTTCTTTCTAGGTCCCTTTTTAGGTCCCACAGCACAAAGTTTTTTCCACTTAAGCTGGAACCTTCAACTCTTAGCTTATTTCACTGTGATATTAATGATGCTGATATCCTCATAGGGTTTGTCGGTTTTGGGATTGACTTTTACGTTTGAGATTCTTTGAACAACTTCCATTCCTTTAGTCACTCGTCCAAACACGCTGTGCTTGTTGTCTAGCCACGGCTGTTTGAGGGTACAGGAGGAGAAAGAAAAAGAACATTAAAACTGAAAGCAGTACCAAACCAGAAAGAGACTGACCTACAATGAGTGAACATGGATATAATTTATATGTTCAGACTATGAAACTTTAACACTACGTAAATACTAGCATGTAAGTAAATAGTAGAGTACAGTTCAGACATTCATATGCAGGTAAACTCACCTTTTCAATTGTTTTCTTTAAGTACTATAGAGGTCAAGTTATAGCAATGCACTAGAATTTCATAGTTTATTTTAAAGTGTATTTTCAGTTCAGAGAAATGCTGTTTTAGTCTATTTCATGGTACTTTCACAGCTGGATTGTAAGTGCCAGTCCAAAATACTACTTAATTCAAAGTGACATTCATACAGTGTGCCCAATTAGCAATCTGAATAGATGCACTAATATAACTTAATAAACTTCAAATTATGGTAGATGTGTGCTTTTTGAAAAAAGATGCATGATTTTGAACTAAGTGGTATAAGAATGCAGTTTCTGTAAGTGTTACCTTTAATGATTTGGTTTGTATCTGTTATATTCACATACTTTTTTTTTTTTTGCTCTGAAATTGTACACAGATAAAGGAAATCTTCATACCTGAATACTGGCTTCTTTGTATAGCTATAATTATGCAATATTAAGGAGTCATCCTGGCACCATATCCTAAAACTTAAAACAATCTAAGCAAGAGCTCATTTCCATCGTTTAAACCAGTATATTAATACAAAATACTCTAGTAATACACAATTGCAAACATGCTAATTCACTAAGAATCTGTATCACCTTTACTCCAATTAAAGGCAAAAGGCCTCTTGATCACAACTGACAAAAACATTTTTCTGTTTCTTAAAGGACTGTTTCAGTGAAGCCTACAAAGTGTATATATCATTGCATGCAGCATTTATTTGCAAAATAAGAAGAAAAGATTATTTAGATAGTACTGTGTTCCTTTTTTAATTAAAAAAATTATTTTTACTATGTAGTTAGCATCTCAGGCCTTAAGTTCAGCTTTTAATATTACTTACAGTTGGTACTACTGTTATAAAAAACTGAGATCCATTGGTATTTGGTCCTGCATTAGCCATGCTGAGTGTGTATGGTCTGTCATGTCGTAAAGTTGAATGAAACTCATCTTCAAATTCTCCTCCCCAAATACTTTCACCTCCCATTCCTGTACCAGTTGGATCACCAGTCTGAATCATGAAACCCTACACAGAAATTAAATGTTATTACATCATCACATAGAATAAATAAGCAAAAATGTCTTAAGCCAGCTGACTTTTTTTTTCACAAACTTCAAACCTTTCAACAAAATGTGAGTGTTAAAATGCTGTGGGTAAGGGACAAAACAAATTAAGGTCATCTTTACATGATAATCGAGTACTTGTGAAAAAGTCAAGCCTACTCACTGTTCCTGCTAGTGAAGGACAGAAGCCTGACTATCTGTACCTTTTGCAAACAGGCTGCATCAGCTTGATCCAGTGCAACAGAAACAAGAAGCCTGACAAGAAATCCGTTCTGACATGAAACCAAGTCGTAATTAACGCAGGACTGCTGAAGTGATCTTTCCGTTTTCAGGCTTCTTCCACCTTGTCCATTGCAGAACAACTATTAAACAACTTCAGTAAGCGATAAAGCTTTTTAGAGCCTCAGAGTTGTTCAGATTCTATGACTTTACAGGGAACTCTGAAGCCATTCCAGAAATCCTTAGTGCAAAAGGGAAAGCAAAAAGCAGAGAGGACCGAGCACAAATGTACATTGTCTAAATCAAGAAAAAAAATAGCTTTTTCACAAGTTACCTTGATGATACGGTGAAATATATGTCCATTGTAATAACCATTTCTGCTGTGCACACAGAAGTTTTCCACTGTTTTGGGACACCTGAAATCATATAACAGAAAATACAGGCTACAATAAATATTTAAATTGTATGGTGGCAAGGACAGAAAGACTTCACCTGAGATTAAGATCCTGATGTACTAAGCAGTGTTTTAGCACACTGTAGTAATGGCTTTCATCACAAAAGGAAAAAACGAAATTGCCACCTCCGCAAAACTAGAGCTGGAAGCAAAAAAACTTTAGAGAAGAATGAAGTTGCATGATGATACAGGAAAGCAGCAGCAGTGTTGATAACACAGGGATCTTTTCGTTCTTGCTGAGCAGTGCTTACACAGAGCCGAGGCCTTTTCTGCTCCTCACACCACCCCACCAGTGAGTGGGCTGGGGGTGCACAAGAAGCTGGGAGGGGACACAGCTGGGACAGCTGACCTCAACTGACCAAAGGGATATTTCATGCCATATGACGGCATGCTCAGCATATGAAGCTGGGAAGGAAGGGGGGGACATTCAGAGTTGTGGTGTTTCTCTTCCCAGGTAACCATTGTGTGTGACGGAGCTCTGCTTTCCTAGAGATGGCTGAACACCTGCTGCTTATGGGAAGTAGCGAATGAATTCCTTGTTCTGCTTTGCTTGCGTCCATGGCTTTTGCTTTACCTACTAAACAGTGTTTATGTCAACCCTTGAGTTTTCTCTTTTTTACTCTTCTGATTCTCCCACCGAGGGGGTACGGTAAGCAACTGGCTATGTGGGGCTTATTGCCAGATGGTGTTTAACCATGACACTCAGGAACCAAATCTCTTCTTCAAAGCCCAGTTCAAGGCACCACTGATTAGATGGTTCATTTTCCAGCTTTCTACTTACATATTGTTTATTTTCAAAATAAATTAAGGAGTGTATGCTCCATAAGCATCAAGTTTTTCGCTCTTTTGTCTCTATAATTCTATTAAGCTATATATGTAAGGTGTCCAGTGTTACTTAGAAGAACTAAAATCTAACAATACAATGTTTAATATTATAGAACTTGCAGTCAGCAGAGTCAGTTATCCTCCTCTGAAACTACTCACAAACGTTGTTTGGAAACAGGGTGAAGAGGTGGAATATTAATGTTGATGGAATAAAAAGGAAAAAAAACATACAAACAACCCCTTCACCTTTGTGGCTTCATTTTTTACTTCTGAGAGGTCTGCTACCAGAGAGAAAATTATTTGTGACAGCTCTTCCACTAGTTTTAGGAAATGGATTAGTAACCAGAGTAGATCTACATTGACGGGTTTATACAGTCACACACATTTTCCCAGCAAATGAGAAAACAGCCAAGTTGAGTCCTTAGCTGTAGAGTTACTGTAACTGTGACAAGAAACATTTGCTTGGGCTTAGTGATAATCTAAACCATCTCGTGAAACAGTGCCAAAGGCATAACTAATGGAACATACAAGATTATAGTCCCAATTCCTATTGTGCAGTACATAGTCATTCACAGCTTTACTCCATGAGCACAGGGCCAAAGATTTAAAGTTCTGCTTTATTTTTTAAATCACATTCATCTTAAAGAGATTTTAAATTCAAAGCTCTGCTGGGAGGAAATACTACAACAAGAAAGGACAAACCTACCAATAACAAAGGCTGGTAATACTGTGCTTAATTTAAAACTGCATACAAAACATTGCAGTGAAAGACCTAGCAATACCACCCATGCAAATATAGTGACACACTGTCAAGAAAATGAAGAAAAAAAAAAAAAAGTCAGAAATAATGTAGCTTGTCCTGTCACTCTCTGGTAAGGGCTGTACCATTACTGCAACCTATATGCTACAATTATGAATTCCAGAAACTGGAGCCTGATGCAAAGAGACACACACCCTAGAGCAGAGACACAGCCCACAGAGAGCAACACCTTACAGCAGCAGAGGAGGCGGCTCGTGTAGTGGGACGCTGAAGCTCTGCCAGGTCCAGAAGCCTCATTAGGCAGCTGTAGGAGCAGAGCGAGCAGGCAGGGTTCCTCTGTGGAGGAAGAACTAAAGACCAGGAAAAGCACAGACATCCTACCTGACCCTCCTGTCAGAATGGCAGGCACTTGTCTCAGAGCTAAGGCTGCAGCTCTGGCTGAGGGGTCTGCACCATCTTC